TATTAATAAAGTTTTATTAACCAAAAAGCTACTGGTGTTTTATGTTACTTTTTTAAAATTTATATATATTCATTTAACAATCTTAACGTTGTTGTGACATATTTTATTTTTTAGAATGAGTGCAAAGATACAAAGGGTATTGAGGGGCGGCATTTTAAAATCTGCCCCCAGGCGGAAAATTTCTTAACCCGGCACTGGGTATACCTATGTAGAGTTCTGATTCTCATTCATTAAGTTCTCTAACAGCACGAACAAGTTAGGTATTCCGTTGACCAAAGTCGAAAGTATCGATAAAAGAGTTCGAGCTCCCCGTCCGAAGGTTTAAGTTATCCAAGAGAGATAAAAATCATTAATAACAACGCTCGAACGTGTTCTTATTATCGAAGTAGTGTTTGTATACATTTAAAAAAAAAACACAACGGTTTGCGTTTCGTTTGGTCGAGCGCGGAAACAAACGCAACCGGAAGTTTGGAAAACTATTCTTATACGTCGTCAACAACAGGGACGGTTCAACCGGGGAAGAAGAAAAGATCAGAGTTCGGACGAAATGATGATATTCACTCGGTTCCGGCGTTTCCCCGAATCGGGATATCGTGTACCCGTGGCATTGTGTCGACATTGCGATCGGGCGTGACCGGATTGAATTTCAACAGCGTGACCAGCTGCGCGATGGAAATGTTCACGCGCGAAAAAAACACAGTTTTCACGGACGCCGCAGAAATGTTCGCGGAAAAGCGCGCGGTCGCCGTCGGGCGATTGTACCGCGTCGCGCAAATGATAACGCCGTACCTGAGGGGCGGCCGCGCCGAAAACGTTTGACCGTATCCGCCGCAGAATGCGTGTGCGCGACACGAACGACGGGTAAACGCGCCGGGGCTAGAAGACGAAGGGAGGAGAAAATCGTGGCGCGTAAGAAAAGAAATTCCGTTTGGCGATTATAGTTGCGTTCACAATACGTTACGTTTTCTGAGCGTCACACAATGGAAATAACACGTACGCCGCTGCAGGCGAAGGGCCGAAGGGCCGAGGTCCGGTCGATTTTTAGCCGACCGACAAACGGCCCCGCGCGCGCGTTCCAAACGCGTTGACCTTTGGCGCGCACACGCACACGCGCTCGCGTGAGAAGAACCGACGTCCCTTCGCGTGCGCGCGGACGGCCGCTGCCAGGAATTTCGTCGGGGGGGGGGGGGGGGGGGGCATTATATGCGCTGACTTTTGATGATTCGAGTTCAACGCGTAGACGTGTTTTTTTTTTTTCAAATTGTACGTGAAAAACCATTTCGGGTTTTTTTCGGCGGCTACGAAGCAACTGGACTGAAGTCATGGACTACTCTTGCCCGTCGATGTGCAAAATATCGCGGGGCGATAAAAACGCGTGCCGGTGTTGCCGTGCAGGGCCCGTTTCGCGTGGACGCGTGTCTCGCCGATCGGGTTTTGAAAAATATGGTTTTCGTCGAGCCGGTTGTACAATTTACCAGTTACTAATCCGTACGGCTTTATGGCGTTACTGAACACGTATACGTACGTCCTATAGCGGGATTGTTGAAGGTTGAAAGTCGAACCCGTTGCGTACAATATGCTCGCCATTAACTCGACGGACACGGGATTAATAACGATTGCGTTGCAAAAGCCAACCCTTAATCAGGATTACTAATACACGTTTGGAATCGTGCTAATGAACAGCACAAGGGTCGAGATTAAAATCCCGAGCGGACGTGACGCGACGCAGGGAGTAGCGTCAACACGTACGATATCGCTTCGACGCGATACGCGTCCGCAATGAATATATATATTTCTTCAGAAATGTAGATATTTTTTTTTTTTTTTTGTTATACTAAACATTTTATTTTTCGACAGCCTGGTACAAAAGAAGAGTTGTCGAGTATCGAGCGCCGCACGAAAACCATTATGATTATTAAAAAAAAAAAAAAATCATCACGCAGTGCGATGTCCATTTTCGTCGTGATTATAATCAATAAAAGAAATGCGTTTTGTCTCAATTTCATTTGTTTACTTTAGATTTAATATTAAAACGAGTAAAAAAAAAAAAAAAACAAATGCGTTTTGCCCGCGAACCTTTGACGTAAATACAGCCCGTCGGTAATTCGTGTTCGAGACCACTGGTGCGAACACCACCGCCACGCTGCGGTGTCGCGGGTTCGTCCGAATGCCATTCGTATTGTACAGTATTATGATTTATATTTCGACGGGCGACGGTCGTTCGTGTGCGAGGTCCATTTCACACGGAACACGCGGCCGAACATTGTGCACGTGTACAACGGATACACACGTCAAGCATTACACAATATAAACCCCACGACGTTATATTATTGTCGCGCGAGAGACAATATTATTATTATTAGAAGTACATCGGATACTGCCGAGGAACGTCGCCGAAGCCGTTTCCAACGCTGTTGTTTATTGTGTTTCAACAACTGAAAAGTCACTTTGTCGCACGTACCCGGGCCCCGGGTACTTAGGTAGGTAGACGCGTACGCGCCGTATACCTACATTATGCTACGTAGGTTAGCCTGACCCCGGCAACAATGCGATTAAACCAAAAATATTATCACCGTACGCAATAAATCATACGCGCCGCGCACGAGGAGATTACGTATTTCGTGTACATCGGACGTGGTCTATAAATATAACGTGCACAATGATCATAATAATACGTCTCGATCTACGGACGGTGTCGTTCAATAAAGAAATCGTGATATACGTGTCACCACCACCACCACCACCAAGTGACCGAATAATACGTACATGTACTCGCACGATCGGTGCCGCGCTTTCTGTTTGGACCGTTCGTCCGACCCTCGCCCACTAGCACGCACACACACACACCGATCCCTAACCGTCCAAGCGGATTCACAGAGAAAACGTTTTTATGTTAACTAACGAAACCCACAGAAAAATGTAATTCTTGAAAAATCAAAAGCTACAGGAGTTTATATAACAGGCCGAATTTATTTATTCCATGTATATTAAAAGTAAACGACTGGAATGGCCATGTTTGGAGAGTGGATGGACAAGCAATAAAAGAAGTTTTAGTCAACAAAATGAATAAAAAACGACAATTAGGAAGACCAAGAACCCGATGGATGGACGTTATAGCTCGAGATATCAAAAATATAAAAGAAGAGTCATCTTTTGACGATGCGTATGATAGAGAGAAATTGAGAGGTTTGGTGATGGCAGCGATGGCACTTAATGGGCCGATAAGCTGAGAAAGAAGAAGCGCGACAAAACCCAAAGCTTATGTGCACGCGGGACGGTTGTCGGTTACAATACCTACACAAATGGTCTATACGTATTGGGTACCATAGGAATAACCGCGAACGAGCTCCGACCCAGTGCCGCGGTGCATTCGAAGTGACATCATACTACATTATTGTACTACGAGTTATTGGTTTAACAATATTATAAAATTATATTACCGTGACTGAATAATAAATGGGCAGCAAGAATACTGTTTGAAGTATCCAATTTTATTCCTGTTTATAGAAATTTAATATCGACAGGCCTTAACCGATGAGCGGGGGAGTGGTGTTACGAGTACGGTTACCATTAACAGTAACTATTAACTTAGGTTAACCATTTTGTACATAGATTTTTACAAAGAGCTTTTGAAATATTAATACTGATTTTATTATTATTATTATTATTATTATTTTTTTTTAATATTGATTTTATTTTAAGTACAGAATGTTTAAAAAAAAATTAGTTTACAGAATTATTTTGGATTTTATGAAATTTTTGACGATACAATGGTTTTAATTACCTTATGGGAGGGAAGGAAGTGGGGATTTTTTAAGACCGTTGAAGTTTTTGGTAAGGGGACCCCATTTTATATTCGACTTTAGGGCCCCCCAACTGTCTAGTTGCGTCAGTGTCTTGGAATCGCTAGCTGTGCGGAGTACAAACTTCGATACGCGAATAAAATATTGACACACGCGAAGATAACGTATAAATAATAATAATAATAATAGATGATGGACTTCCGCGAAACACTCGACAAAACCGGAGGAGCGTTCATTATCTTCATAGTTGGCGATGAGACCTTCAAACCTAGACTAAAACCATTCTCAACCCGAGATATATTTTTAAAAGCTCACGAGGACCAACAAGAAAACTGAAATAATACCATTTTTCCTAATGGCCATTGTTCACTATTACCATAACATAAACTTTAAACTTGTAAATTCGTAAAATGTATTGCATTGTAAAAACTTTTAGTATGTTAAACCGTTGAAATTTAATAATAATTGAATAATGTTAATTTTGTACAAAGCGTTGTCACCGCATCCGGTAATGTTCTAAATCGGTTACCGGTGTAAAATAATGAATATCTCATCTGCAATCGGCATCTCGAAAGTCGATACAACTTATCAGCTGCATAATCGAATATTTGAAACGTAAAAGCGCACATGGAACTCCGCCGTTTCCAATTGGATAGATAAAAGCGCAAACACACACATTTTTCTGAAATTATACGTCTCGCGCTGCTAGCTGACTCTTAAGTGTTTCGTGAAAAAACATTAACAAATGGACGAATGATAATGTGCTTTCATCATGAATATTATATTTATGCATCTCCTTTAATACATGATAATACCACTGAAAACAATTAGCGAACGTGTTAAAACGTGTTTATAAATCAGATACGAAACTAATTATAATAAATGCATGTTAAAAGTGCGTACGAGTATATGCGGTACACTACATGTACATACGATGCATACGAACGTCTGCACGTTTAACGGTTAATTGTTTATCATACTCTTTAATGACTCACAGCAAGACGAATGCGTGAAAAAATTAAGACCTGCAGGTATTGTTCATTTGCATTCGTATCGTCTGATCCGAATATACTTTGTTACCTATAACGTAGTTTTTCGCAGACAAACATTATATTACACGACAATAATGTTCACTCTCGCCGAGACGTACTATTCGAGTTGATTAAATACAAAACTAAATGGTGGTCAGACACGACATATGTAAGTAAGTTTTTATTTAATCTAAATAAAATCGGTACAATATCTGTTATTATTTAAATCGGATGATAAAAGTAACGAAACACAACTGTTTGTTATAATAACTACGCGGATAGCGCTTAAGCCGATCAAAAGATGTATGTATAGTATGAATATAGAAGGAACGTATAATGCGATAATTATTATAATTTTTGTATTATTTTTTACAAGCATATTTTTATTTTGAATTGAATAAAACAGGTATAGTAAAAACCTATATATATATATATATATATCAGCAGATAAGCAACACTAAGACATAACGGTTCTAATAATAATACATGCATCGCGAATATACTGAAACGTTGTACATAGTTATTTTTATGATCATTATTTTTAAAAATATTACAGTATACTGGTAAATATTATTCATGTTTTATAGGTGTACTTTATATTAATGCGTTTTAACGTGGGCAGCGAAGTCCGTAAACAGACCTATTCCTACAGAGTATTTGGTTATAACGTTATCACAATTCGTGAGATTTTATTATTGATTTTTCTGGTTCGTATATGTTAAGTCTTCGGAGACGCGAAAATGCATGAGCAGTGGTACGATTCGCGTACGAAACTGGTAGGATAAATCCGAAGAATAGATTTGACGTAAATATGCATAATAGGTGATATTGCATACTAGAAACTTCGAAAGCGTTGAATGCGTATTATGCAATAGTTATGTATCGGTCAAGTTCAAAGGTCGTAAGATGAACCCTCGAGCATAATGCCCGGTAAAAGTTCAGTCCTCGTGGATCTGGACAACTGTTGGTTCAGCTCGTTTTTGAAATCCTTTGATCGTTTCACATTGTCCGAGGCTGGCTGCTCAGAATCTTTCGTCTTGTGTTGAATCACGTCCGATTGTTTACTGGCGTACATCCTGTTCGCAGTTGATCCGTCATCGCCGAAGTTTACACTCGAAGAATACTGTACGCTCCGGCCTTCCAACGACGGGCGTTTGTAGTTGGTTTTCTTCAGAATCGCCTACGAATAACAAGACGTGACGTAATTGCAAATTACATAAAAGTAAAAGATTTATACATTTATACATTTAATTATAATATTGGATTGCTCTGGAAGCTTAAAAATCGATCTAATTTATAAATTAGACTAACACCAATTCTTTTTAACTATTACGGTTCATTTTCTCAATTGAAAAATTCAATGCTTATTATTTTCAAACACATTATAAACTTTGTCTTAAAGTTCAATCAATTTTATTTTTCCTACTTGTATTTATTTACACGTCTTATATATCTATCTGCCATGTTTTTTGTTTAATCTAATGGAATACCTGAAAGTTGTACGGAGGATCGTCTTCATCTGCATCAACTGTCTGGTATTGTTTTCCTTTTAATTGAAGTTCGAGAACAGGATTTGATTTGTCTGTTGGTCTGAAATTGTATTATAGTTTCGGTTTTATATTTTTTTCTCAATGATATCGATGTATGTACTTACTTAGTTGTTTTCGGTTTGTTTACGATATTGGTCGGCTTCGGGTCCTGTCTTTCTTTTGCACTATATCTATTGTCGATCAAGGGCTGTCTTCTTGGTTTTTCTTCAAATTTCTGATATTTACGTTCGTTACCCTGAAGTGAATATTATATATAAAACACATCGATTATTTTGAACAAAATTCTTCTGCGCTTACGATTTGTGAACTGTTATTATCGATAATCCGTACTCCTTCGCTGAGATTAGCTTGAACACCTTGATCTATTTAAAGTAGGCCAAAATATATTATTACTGTTAATTAGAATATCGTTTTTACATTTTTTTTGCATACATTTATTTTACGTTACTTTAAATTAAGGGAATTGGGTAACTTTGTTAAAAAAAAAAGTCTTAATCATGATAAAAAAATTTATAAAATGTATCAAAATACTTATTATTAATTTTTTTTAAGCTTTTAAAGTTTCCCAAATGGGTAAAAAATATTTAAATTAACTGATAAATCATAAACTCAAGTATAAATAGAATCATCAATTACAATACATTTTAATGTAAAAATAATCAAAATTATTATTTTTCACTTAAGTTACAGGTGCATTTTGGTTATCTGTGAAAAACCTTTAGTTTATTCGCAATATCATACGAAAAAACATTTTTGTTAAAAATAGTTTGTGTTTTTAGTTATTTTAAAACGTGATATCTTAATTTGAATTTAGCTAATAGTGATAGTTTATAATAATAATTAGAACATTGACTCAATTTTAACGGTTTCTATTTTTGACATTTCATTTACTGTTGAACTATTAAGCGTTATGAATATTCACGGGATCTTTTCAAGATTTAAGTTCTAAAAAACCTTACTCATAGCATTATTTTATATTTATATACTGTTTATTAATTTTATAAAATCGATATAGTATTTTAAAAATATGCGGTTGGTCATACAATTTAAACGATACGTTCTGTTAAAAATTACCCCGGACAGCGAACGAATGTTTCAAAATCTTATAGGCATTACGAGATTCCGGAAAACGCCTTAATGGAGAATCCCAATTACAGTCGTCAATACTGCTTTTCATGCTGAAACCACACCAAATGTCTTATATTAGCAAGTATTATTTATAATGTAATTTATTCACTTGTCGTCCTATAAGTGTATCACTTTAGATTAGTCATTGTAAATTAATCGTAATTACGGTTTATATGACTATACATATTATATCGGTTCCAATACGGTTCTAATATATTTCAGAAAAAAAAATTATCAAATATATTTTGGAAATATTATTACAGGACTCCGTGCACGATTCACGCAACAGATTGATCAGCAATCAATCATTAAAAAGTTTTTACACAATTTGTAACATATCACTTGCATTTTATACAGCTGGAAATACGTTTTGTTATTTTAGCTGCGGAATTTAATATGTCAGAGAAATTAAAAGTTTTACATCGGTCTGTTTTTTGTCGGTAATCGGTACCCGTTTTTTTTTTCTCGAATGCTGTGAACTTATTATACTTATTATTATACAACAATTGTAAACAGAAAAGTACATTTAATCTGATAAAAATACAATAAAATAGCTACTCTTTTGAAATACTTATAAGACGTATCGGAAAGAAGAGAACAATGAAATTTTATTCATTCTTTAATGCGTTGTTGTACAGAAGGACTTTCGGGAACAACGTAACCTGATGCTATGAAGTTACAATACAATGAATCAATCGACGCAAAGCGTTGCAGGAAAACCGTGTTGGAAACGATATTCATTTGTTGCGGGAAAACTATTTTTTTGACGTTTGACGTCACCAATGGCGATGCGTTTCACGGACTAAATAACACATCACACTGTGTGTATAAGTCATAATCGATGATGTTATACACGCGTAACGCGTATTACAATAATATATTATCATAACACGTGCGCGTGTTTACGTTGTTTACTTACTTTTCGTCCGTTATGCCCTTCAGATGGATCGTGTTCATTCGATTTAGTTTGAACGGCAACTTGTACATATGGCACTTTTTAGGTCCTAAAAATTCGTTTACATTCGTCGTACTCATCAGTTTTGTCAACATAACCGGTCGGTCGATCATGTTTTTCAAGTCACTAATCACGTGTTGATTGTAAAAGTGCACCTGAATAATGACGGATACGCGGTATGATAAATTGTACATTAATATATTTTAACAGACCGTCAAAGACGGCGATCAGACAATGATGCACAGGAGGAGTAGGTTAGGTACATTTTCGAGAAGCTTTAGGTGCGTTAGTTGCCCCACAGAAATGGTTTTCGAGAACTTGAACGTGACACAAAAAGTTTTGCTCTGTCCAGAAACTGAACAAATCTTGAACTGTATAACCGCAAGTGCAAAAAATATAAAGCGTCGCCGAAACTCGCATTCGAATACATTTTTAAAACCAAGTCTCAGTAGGTAACGGAATCTTAGTTTTTCACAACGATTGTAATAAACACTATCAAACTTAAAATTACTAATCAATTGTTTAAATTGAATAATACACCAACAATTAAATAGTGCAATTATGCAAATTGATGCATATTGTAGCGTCATGTACATTTGAAACGATTTGGTATATAATAAAGTAAAATAAAGTTTTATGAATTTACATCTGGATAAGTTGAAAAGTAGTATTTAAGGTCCTTTCAGTTATATTTTATACAAATTTATCTAGTTATCGGTAGTTTGAATTGCACATAACTTTTCAAATCTTATATTGGTCAAATATTTGTATTTCAATATAGATATATTATTTGATACGGAACAAACTTTATACTATTGAACTTACTTGTAATGAGAAGTATACTACGTCTTGAAGTTTGTTCGCACGATCCATCAGTAAGACTTGATAAATTGATTTTCCTTTCCACTTATTGCAAAAAGTTTTCATTAATTTACGGGAAGCCGGGTCGATTTTACCTGGTAAAAAATTATAAGTATGAAACACTATTTTGTTTGGAATAAACATCTACTGTTAGAATTTTTCTTTTTAAATGTAAAAATTAAATGTGAAACGTCGTCAAACTAAGTAATCACTTAAAAGAGGTTTTATTTTTTATTAAAATTCTTTATATTTTTACTTGATACTTAATAAGTAATAAAATAATATTAATTTTAAAAGGGTTAACAACGACGAATATTTTATTATCGAAAGTAGGTATTATAAATTTAAATTTACCAATATCTTGTGAGCCGTGTGTTTTTCTTATTTGATATCCTCTATAGTCTATATGAAAATATAAAAATAAAATATATCAACTAATTATTAAACAGTGTCCTAATATACACAATTTAAGTATATATTAATTTAGAATACTGAAACATGCTCCTAACCGCAATCGCTGAACAAAGTTTCATCAATTTTACGAAAAGGATGTAATTGCATTTCTTATATAATGAAAATATACTATCATTTTCATGCGTTTTTACGATCAGCATATAATTAATAAAAAAAAAAAAAAACAAAGTTGTATTCATAAATAGGAATGGAGTAGGCCACATTTAGAAGTAACAATAAAAACTAATATTCGGAAAACCATTTAAGTAGTGAACTTCGTATTTGAGTGATTACAAAGTGTTCATATAATTGGTTGTTCCGTTTGAACTCTTAAGAAATTACAGTTTAATTAAATTTGCATAGAAATTTTTACTCGTTCAAAACCAAAAATTAATTAAATATATAAAAATAATCGATTCGACTCGTAGAAATAATCGATAACACAAACATAGGATGCTCAGTATTTTTTCTGAAATAAATAGTCGTCAGAGAATATAAAGTAGTTCGTGAGAGAAGGTCAATAATTATAATCAAGAAACCCACTACGACACAGTTGGTGCCCGGAATGATATCGATTTGGTCGATTGGCTTAGAAAATTGGCTTTCAATGTTAAAATAATGTCTTTATTGTAAACTATATTGCACACAAATCGCACAAATGCGTACAAAGTGTAACACAATTGCATACTCACGTTTTTGTATGACAGTAGCCGCCTCTTCTTCTTCGGATGTCGCGCTTGCTAATTTTTTCCTCGCGACTGAAAAACATAATAGCGATTTAGAAATATTATTCGGTCATCGATAAACGTACATAGTATATTTGTATATACTATATGTGTTTGATCGGTAAAAGTATATAATATAAAATTGACATGAAACGTGAACCTCGATTAAAGTGCATGGTGAAATAATATTATAATAATTATCAATTGTATGTTCTATACTTTGTACGTAAGTTTACAATATAATCATTTACAAATATTAATATTAACGGTTTGTCACACAATCGCACGCTGTAATCGTGATTTATATTATTTTACGCAGTTAAAACGATGTATGGCAAAAAAAAAAAATAAAAATATAATTTCATTCACTAAAATAAAAATGTAAACAAATAATGTGATTGTTTAGTTACCTCACAAATCACATTTTTTTTCTCCAATTATTTCACCATATGTAAATGATAAAATAGTTAAAAGTTAATAGTTAACTCTCAAATATTTATACAACGTGCATTATTTACGTTTAGTATTACCATTTAAATACCCACAGTTAATCGTATGTTAAAACTGTATAATCACAATTGATTTAGATGGAGAAAAATGTATTTCACTATTTTAACAAACGATAACACATTTAAAAATGAAAACAATAAACACTTGGTTTTTAAAAACTACGCTTTCTCGACCTACGAATATATTCAATACACTTATAGTATTAAAACAACGATAAAAAATGTTATGAAACCTATTAAAATCAATTTAATTGAATTTTAACGTTGTTAGGTGATTATTCGAAACCTGAGAAACCAAACACGTACATTTTGAGTATTAATGGATGATTTACAAAGACGAATATAGGATATGTACAATGCAAACCAAATGACTACAGTGATTTGAATACCGTTCTCTTTTTGGGGGATATATAGTTGGTATGTATTTTACGAACTAAAATTTGAAATCGAAAACATTTCGATAAGTATTCGAAACGAAAATTGGTTGCTACTATTATGAATTATACTGTATCCATGTTTCGAGGAAGTGTTACGATACATGTAATCACGTCTAAATTTGCACGTCTACGAATGAAATGTAATAATCATAAAAGTAATTAATTTTTAAAATTTTACTTCCACTATTGGAAATCAAATCGATTCGGTTTGAGGATCGCACGGGAAATTATGAATACAAAAGTCATTTATTTTGCAAATGATTCGTTGAACAAAATCAAATTAGAACTCAGATGTCTTGCAATAGAAACTTGCAACATTAAACACTACTACACCGGTTGTTACCGATTCGAACAAAAAAACGGACCGAATTCGTGAAGATCGAGAAAGCCAACTAAAGATGTATGTAATTACAAGTGTAGTGATACATTATGCAGGTACAGTTACATAAATAACTAAACAAACACAAGAGTACGACTAAGATTAAGAAAATCATGCACAAATATATAGCAGGTATGGAATTAGCGAGTAAAAAACGTTTATACTGACCTATGCGGGAGCAGAAGACCCGGCAGTGCTGTCCACATTTCCACTAACTTGTGATATCGAATTTCGTGCAAGTGTATTACAATATTATGTATCGATGCTGTTGCTGCTCTTATTACTATTGTTGTTGGAATGCATAAATTAGTGTTAGGCTTATAAAACGGCATAATGTACATAATAGCGCAACGTAGGTGATGACATAAACCGTGTCAATGGTTCTCAGATTTCGAATAAAAAAAAATGACAATGACTCGACGGGAGACTCGTGTGAGACGGAAAAATAACCTGGACAAATTGAACATCTATCACGCGGGTAACCGTAAATATTTTATCGTGATACATAATATGTATTGCATATGTATTTGTAATAGTACTATTTATTACGCCGGATTAAATACAACAAAATCGTTCGTGCACCAGTGTAAAAAGAGTTCAATATAATATGGTAAACAACAAAAACATTAAAAAAAAAAACCGTTTCATAAAACCATGATTATTGTAATCGGACGAATCGATCACTGCAGGGTTAAAAGTTAAGATGTTGTTACGCGATTGTAGGGAACAATTTTTTAAATCGGTACATATATTTTTGTAGTATACCACGAAACACTTTCAAAATAATATTGTTTCTTATCTCAGCTTATGCACTATTGTAATATTGATTACCTAGTTCGCAATGTCAAGGCTTGTACCTATTAATTCAGATGAGCGAAACACTTTGTTTCTTATACCGATTTCTAAATTGAGTTAATGTTTATGATAACAACTTGACTTTTTAATTACCGAGTCGTTGTAAAAATTGAAAACGATTAAGCAAGGAGAAATTATGTTTGGCGATGGCTCCTCTGCTTTCCGGGTTCGGTGGTGATTAGCAGCCCATACACGAAAGGTTTTCCCGTCAGTTTTGGAATGGCATTCCAAAACTGCCGATCAGGTCGTCAGTTCTAGTCCGTCGCGGTACAGAACTTTTGATACCCATTTACTGGCATTCCAGATCTGCCGAATTATACCGCCCCTTTGGAATGTAACGACTAGATATGTAGGTGTATGTTCAAAACTGTCAATTTTCCTGCGGTTATGATGTGTCACTAGATCTTTTGTCATGTTAGAAATATTTTTTGCCATTCCTACGGAACAGTACCTAGTATGTAGTTTGCTTAGTAGTGTGTTCCCGATATAATTATACATATATATATATATATAATATAATTAGACGTTATACCTGACTTATCCATATAAAATGTATAAAAATAAAAAAAATAAAATTGCAATTATATGTGCTATGGCAATTGTTGCGCACGAAACTTCAAAAAAAAAGATAAACAGAAAAACATGGGTAAAAAAAATGAATAGAACAGAGAAGTGAACAAAGTAATGTAACTCTACTAAAGGATTTAAAAGAAAATAATCTAGACGACTTTAAAAATTATTTATGAATGGATGATACAGATTTTACTAATTTACTAGGTAAGTAATTAAACCTAATATAGCTATAAAAATATGTATAAGTGACTATTGTGATTGTCAGTAAATAAATCAAAATTACTAAATAATTTATAATTTACTGGTGTTTATGATAAGTACTTGAATAATTTTATATATTTGTAAATAATACGTTTATATTAAAAGTAAAAATTTTAATTTTAAAATAATTATAAAAATCAACGACACCACTAGGCGCGTGTAGTTAGTGTTTACAACTAAAACTGTGGACTGTAGACTGTGACCGTCCATACACGTACAAGTCAAATAACAATATTTATCTTCCAAAAATATCTTTAGCGATAACGTTCGATTCGCGGTCTGTGATATTTTTATCCCATATACGTACAAATCAACTTGAGCGATTTGGTCGGTCAAGGGACAAATCCGACAGACAAACCTTTCGTGTATGGCCTGCTATTGAGATGCCAACTGCCATTTGGATTTCGAATCGATCAAAGATATTTTTAAGTTTCGACAGCGAAAATTCACCACTACACGAAAAATGGTCTAGAAAATCTACTGTACCAAACACGCGGAAACGCATCGTGGTGTAAAAGGTAACATGTGTCACGGTACGTGTTAACAGAGAACCACTTTTGCGTGTTTTTATTTTAATTTTTTTTTTCGGTCTCGAAAACGCTCGCCCACTCCAGACCCGAGAAGAGATTCTTTTTTGTTTTTCATTTCATTTTTTCCGTATTTCGAAAATGTTGTTAACCGTGATCGCGTACATTTAAACCCGATGTAATTTCTTCCCTACACGGTTTTCGTACCGCAAACGTACACACACACACCCACACTTATGTACACGAAAGTCGTATGGAGAACGGCAAATAGCTGTCTAGGCCGCGTAGGAGGGTAAATCCCTTTGTGTGCACTACGGCCCCTCGGCGGCGCAGTCCCGACCTTTGATCCGTTTGGACCGACATCAAAGGGTACGTGCAATTAAAAAGCCACCCCGTGGGCCCCGCGGGCTCGAGCGAAATAATCTCTGCCCACTTATTCTGAGTAGCCGACTCACCCTTCCCCCGTGTACCACCATCCTTAACCGTTGCGCAGGGACGACAACAGCAGAATTTCGAACACGAGTTCTCAACACTATATTATACTACAGCCTTTGCGCTTACCCTTTGACCGTGCACAAGTAGCGTTGTGTAGATAATTTATAACATATGCGCGAGAAAACAGTACATAATTTAACGTCTATAATAATATAATTATTGTTATTTTCAGGTTTAGCGAGACTTATAGTACTATGGACTTTGTTGAGTCGAACAGAATAACGAAAACGAAATATAAAAGAAAACTGATAACATTTATTTTATGATCGACTGGCCGAGGCATGATCGTATACGTAACGCCGCAGATGTTTGGCACGATTATTTTAATTTTTTTAATTAACAAACCGTTTTTACATTTTCCATCAATATTTATTGAGGAAAATTATATCAAGTCTGCGTAACGATATTTTCTATTTTAACTCACGACGCTTTAAAGTCATACTACACTCGGTACGGATCAATAAATATGCTATAAGTCTCGAACAATGTTTATTATTATTACCGAAATATGATATTGTTGTACCCATATAGCGGCAAAATAGTTTATAGTCGATCGGAACAAACCTAAATCACAATAATAATAATAATAACAATAATAGTAATATTAATAATAACTAAAATTCCTCGGGTTTTTCGACACGGTCGTGCTTATCATATTGTAACCGGACAAGGGTGAAAAATTTCTTTCCGTGTACATTGTTATGACGTGAATTTTTTTTTTTTTTTTTTTGCCAGGTCGAGTCCGAATATCAAAGTCTTTTGATCGAGACTTTCTCTTCGCAACCGCACAATTCGTTCCATGTAACCGAAACGGCCATTTTAAACGTTAAACAGGTCGTTACAGACTCCGGTGCGGTATATTGTTCGAACGTCGCGTTCTAAGTAAACAAATAGATTTATATGTTTTCGACCTGTGTGTTGGTCTAGCGAGTAAGTCGACATTCCTAGCGAGTCTTATACCTGCTGGTTCCGGAATCCCTTTACGTTTCCGTCTCCATTTAAACTGCGGAAAATGTCCGAAACGAAATCGCATGTGACCCGAAAAATGTGCTCGGTCTTAAATCAATATCGAGCCCAAAGAGTGCAATAATTCGTGATGGGACATCGAACATGATTTCTAAGTTTCTGTGTTACCTGTGGCTAATTTCGGACAGGTTTTACCGTGGTTACACGTCTTTATTGATAACACGCGCATATGCAATGATTTTAACGAACCGGCGGTCAAATACGGCGTATTAAATTGAACCAAACGTTTTGATCTAATACGTTTCGCTCGATGAAATTTGTCGTCAAAGAACATGCTATTTTTATTTCGGTATTTTTTTCAATGAGCTATTGTTTGCGACCCTCTTCGGACACTGCGCGAAAACGCATTCATCCATTAGCTAATGCCCAGTGAGGTACTTTGAAATTATCCGTAAGGGTTAATTTACATTTCGTATTGAGGGCACCGTTTGAAGGACAATCTCGTTTCAAATAATTGAAAACATCGTGAGTATACATTGTATAAGTTCCAAACATTTATTTATTAAAATTTATATATGTGATTTGGGGATTAAAAAAAAAAATTAAATTAGCTTGACAAAATATCTAATAAATAAGTACGATAATAATAATATTGATGATAATAATAATAAAATTAATAATAATAGAATAATAAAAACGTGTAAGACGAGAAATCAATTGTAAAATCTATAAGTAATTGGTGTATATATATATTTAACCCGGTACTATATAGTGGTCATGTAAGAGTTTAAAAAAGAAACACAATTCATCATAATGTTCCGAACATTTGCATTATTACTACTCTATTATAAAAACGTAATTCATTATTTTAGTATATAGTTTATGTTCTCTTATTTATACTATATTTCCATCTAAACAATACAAGTCTACTACAATAGTAATTTAATGACTATAATAATAATGAATATTGTATAATAATAATATAACGTTAAAAAAAAATGTGTTATTTCAACGAACTAGTTAAAGAATATTAAGCTGGTATTAAGGTGTCGTCATTACCAGATTGTTGTTTCAGCAGTTGTGGGGCCATTTTTCTTTTAGTGATAAACGCTCGGAGCATTGACTGTACTTTTACGACTTTTTTCACTTGCGTCTCGTAGAGCCTGTAACAGTGCATTTAACGCAATTTATAGTTTTGACACGCGTTTCGCATTAGAATTTCGAGCAGTTTTATTTCTGACGACGTATTTTAAAATAATTATAAAAAGTGTACAGGTCACGGGTCGGTTTTTGGAGGAAAATTCCACATAAATGTATTACTTGTATAAATCACGTAGGCAATTTTCCGGATTAAGTCTTTTCTTCCACTACCGCAATACTTGGTTTTAGCTTAGCGTGCGAATAAAGTTCCAACTTTGAAAAGGTCAACGTGAAATCACGAGCAATATTTACGAAAAATATATATGTAACAATAAGAGCATTTTTATGTACCTAGTAGGTCACCGCAAGAACCGCTTAACCGGTCATTCTTGGTCACGGGTGTGTTGTCGATTTTTTTTGGGAAAAATAAAAGTTACCTAACAGATTTGTTTGTTTTGTTGTTGTATTTGTTTCGACGAACAACGTACAGCACGACGTATTATTATAAACGTACCTCGACAGATATTCTTCGTTGTAGTACCGCAGGAAAACTTTGCTTTTTCCGATCAACCAGCCTTCCATTTTCAAACGGATGAGCAACAGCCGACAATTTTCCTTGGTCACTTCTACGTTCTCGTAGAAATCGAACGCCAAAAACTTATACCTGCGTGAAGATTTCCATCGGTTAACTCGGTAAGAAATATTTTCTTTTTGCGCCGTTTCGAACGGGACGCGCGTTAACACGTCCGTTCGGTCAAAATCAATGCAAAAATATTGCATTATTATGGATTGTCAAAGTGCACGCAAAAAAAGTCACATACATTAGCGTCTTATTTATATTTTTTCGTCGTAAATCATTTCTTTCACCTAATTAAAGACAATTGAAATGTTTATGTTTTCTTAAATTATTGTCGAAAATGTTAATAAAAACTTGGTCGTTTGTTAAAAAGTCTTGAACATTTAATATCAATTTACGCATACTTATTTATTATTGATTAGAGAAAAAAAATTGAGCATAATTAAAAGAAAAAAAACGAGCATTTAAATGTTAAATTTTAAAAGAACGATAAAAATCACAAAAAAAAATTGTTGTAAAAAGTTCAAGAAATTTTCAATATTTATACTAAAGGTTGAATACAAAGTTTTTCAAATAATTTTCTTAGTAATAAAAAAAAAAAATAAATAAATAAATAATATTTGAGATTTGCAAAAAATGATTTATAAGCATAACAAAACGAAATGTTGACGAAATCGAATTCCAATTAAACGGTTTAAGTTATTTAATTACAGACATTTCGTAGTTTCGAAATATTTTAACACGTTTGTGCAGTTTATACCTGTGTATATACTTGTGATTTTAGATGTTTTTTTTTTTCTTTTTTGTTGCGAAAGTTAGAAATTTACTTGTTTGGGAAATCTGGAACTTTTCTACCGTATCAATCGCCTTTAGAAATCAAAACCGATCCACTCGACCTGTTCCGCTCGGAATCAATTTATCGAGAGCAATGGTTTCAACGGTCCGACACATCAGCAGTAACAATCGGTCGTTCTTTTATAGCTCACCCGACGGCCGGGTCACACCTGACGTAGGTGTTCCGCCATATTGTTTTTCTTTGTACTGCCCGCGAACGCTGCGGCACGGAAAACGATAGGCGACAAAGGGCGTCGTCCCTCGAACCGTCGATCGTCGTCGGACGTCGGATCGGGATGTTCGCGGGACAAACGGCGCGCGGTAAATCACAGCGCTACGTGTCGTACCGTACCTGTGTATGAACTCGCGGAACGATATGCGACACGAGTAGCCGTTCTGCCGGGCGGACACGGTCTCGACGACGGACAGCGCCTTCAGCTGCTGCCTGACCACGTCCGGTTGGAAGTCCAGCGGCCGGTCGGTCAACGTGGCCCGCACGCACCGGACGAAGTGGACGCCGTTCTTGTGCTCGGACGTGTCGGCCAGCGACCGCAGTATTTCCATGCACCCGGACCGGTACACCGCGGAGGCGGTGCGCACGCGCCGCGTCTGCGAATACTCTCCGCGCGATTCCGTGTTGTACTTCTGAGCGACCGAAAAAAAAAAAGCCAAAAACCATCGTGCCGTTTTTAGTTTTCTCGAGTCCGGACCAAGGAGGGCCCTTCGGAAACAACACTTTTCTCTCTCCCGACGGTCCGACCGACGTATTTTTTTTTTTTGAAATTCGAAATTCTAATCGCACTAATCGTTTATATTTCCAGAAGCGGGTCCCCCGATCGGGTTTATCGATCACTGTACGAACACGTTAGATAGATAATGCCATCGAATTTTTTCCGATTTTATATCGGTTCGCTAGACGGCTAAAGTCACGATTATGCAAACGGTAAAAGTTCAATAAAAATCCTCGAACGCCCTATAAACAGCATGAATACATCTTAATATCGGAAAAACGAAATACTACGAACGCCTTTAGGTTAGAATCGATATTTTCCATCTATAGAAAGGGGACGCTAAAATAAATTTCGAACAACTCTTTTCTTCGCGTACCAATACGGCAAAACGAATGTTTATCGAATTGTTATAGTATTTTTTTTTTTTTTTTTGATTGTTCTACTTTTACTCGAGTTTCATTGAACGGTAAGTATTTTGTAGCTCAATACTCACTCGAATCGGTGTTTTTTCGGCCATCAAAGCAGCGCCCCATCGACTAATTTTGGTGTTCTTAGTTTTAACCATCAATGACTTATCCTTGCACACGGTTAAATTTCCAGATTTTGTTAATCGGTTTGTGAACAGGTCCTTTATCACGTTGTCTTTAGACATGCGCATTGTCTCGACAACTTCGGGGGCTAGAAAATCACGGTTTTTCTCCAGTATGTCTTTCAGCTGATACGAAACGGTTCCACTGTAATGCGCCACACTGAAAGTTTTTGAACTTGGGACGTTGATGTATGGTTCTTTAGGGTTGTTCTCTAGTGCATCTACGTATATGAAAATTTATTAATTTTCGGCTTATTACACAACGCTCAATTTGCATGATTAATATATAATATATACTACGCACTATTATTGAACTGATTAATAAAAATCATGATTACGATTGTTTATTTGTAATCATCTATTACTTTATTAAATCGACAAATACTCAACTCTAATTATTTGTTTAATAGTTGATAAACTGTTAATATATTTTTAATTACGAATATTACTGATACACATATGTTAAAGTTGTACGCATTTACTTGTCACGTATAAACAGTTGTCTTCTCCGTTTTTGGTAGCATCATCAAAAATGTAAAGCAGCCCATCTGGATTATTTATAAGTGCGTCTATTATCGGTTTATTGTTCCGATACTGCATGCCATAATACTCTATGCCTTCTTCCTCCAAGTCTAGCTGTACAAATACGTCTGATCAGTATATTTTTTTAACCACGAAATCGTATAGATATTTCATAACTTATACAATAATATGGCCTATTTGGAACTAGAAAAATAAACGTAATAATAGAATGTTGATACAAAGTTAAGATGACGTCATACGAATGAAATGTAGTTGAAAGGATACTGTGGATCCAAAACATTTTATCTTTCTGGTATACGATTATTTAATAATAATCAGTAGTTTTACATTATATGTTTAGATGTCCTATGTTGTATGGGTATTTTAACGTATACATAACGTTTTACTCAAAAACATTATTCTAAATTATGATAATTTTTTTTACATCAACTGTTATACTGATTTACCACGTAGCATTCCACTAATAGAGTATTACACTCACCATTTCCCATGCGAACATACGTTGGTTGTAATGATACTGCAGTTGTTCGTTCAAGCAATTGACGAACAATTGATCCATATTATTCTGATGGAAACACTCGAATCCAAACGTGTCCAGCAAATACACCACGTGCGAGTCTCCGCTAAAACAGTGGATATTTTATTTTCCACGAGTAGGCAATAGTATAATATTACGGTGTTCACTTACAATATTGCCCTGGTAAACGACAGTTTCAGATTGATCACGTTCACTATCCAATCGAACAACCTGGCGTACAACGTTTCGGCGAAAACCCGAATGGACTCGTACACTCCGGAGACCGTCTGCTTGCGGCGGACCGCTGTACCGTTGACCACTACGCAGTAGTTTAACAACGACCAGTTAAGTTTCTTCTCGTCTACTTCTAATAATTCGGCAACTGAAAAACAAGATTGCGACGCATAAAAACGTGGACCCGGCCATATCCATTAGAGATACAATAGCGTCTGCGTGTGGGTATAGATTCTGTATAGGTCAATTGCGCGTGTTTGGGTCGGTCAATTGTTAGCGTACAATTATTAATTGGTATTAGTGGTCGAAGCTGGGAGCAATACGAAAGAACAACGTCACTCTGTCTTTAAGAGTAGATATTTATCACTGTTTCTGTTCAAAAAGCACATTTGTAATTATATAAAACAAAAAAATATTTATTATTTTATTATATTTATATCTCAAAACAAGCGGAGAGATGTCAACATTTTTATACTTCTCGTATCGATCATTTTTATAAGTATATAAGTAAAACGTAGTTAATATTTTGGGAAGACTTACATTATTTAACATAAATTCCATACCAAAACGAACAAGAAAAACCCTTCTATTGAAAAATTACTTACACTTAATGTTTAATTAATATTTTTAACTTAATTTAATTTTTAATAATTTTTTATAAAATAATCGAACTCTGCGATCTTTTTTATTTGCGAACTCGAATCTGCGAGTCAGAAGATTAATTTACTACCAAGGTGGAGGTTTCGGAAAATGATTATATTAAATCTATTATAGTGTGTTTGAAATATATATATATATATATATATATTGTTACATATATCGAACTGTAATGTCTCCTTTAAAAGTATTGTAGGCGTTGTTTGTCTGGAGCGATTAAGATTTTGAAACGGTTCGTGCGGAAAAATTGTTTATAATCTGATTGATATCTTTTCCTCTCTCGGGCTCTTGCTTGTATAATTATATTGTTTACACCGCATTAGTATTCATATAATAAACACGTTCAGTGTTTCGATGTCGTGTTTGAGCAACAAGAACGTGGGCGATAAGATGGTAATCATAATTTAATGAAATCGATGTTTTCGGTCAAGAGACTGGTAACGAAATATTATCGCGTTGTAAAGTGTGATTTATAATACGTAAAACTGTATATAAAACTTAATAAATATGATTTATGCACACCTACGAGTCGTATACAAACATCGATTTGTCATTGATATATATATATATATATATATACATAAAAAGATATAATGTTGCTTGAACTTTGACAGAGTACTGCAGTAGAGTTTTCCTCGTGTATTTGAAACAATAATAATTGTTACGTTATATTTTTTCGGTTTTGTCAGAACAAAAAACCAGACAAAAAAAAAAAATATAAACAAAAGAAAATCCCGAACCGGAATGCGAGCGCCTAATAACCGGGGAGTTGTTACACTATGCTCACTGTTCGCGATGCGGTCCGTGTCTTCGATCGTCGTCTCGCCCTCCTCGTCAGACACACTGAGTTCGCCAACGTTGAGTATGGCAGCCAAAATATGCCATATCGTGTTCAACTGGCCGTCCGTGAACTCCAACGTGTCTTTCATGCAGACCAACAGTTTGTTGAAGTTCTTCACGTTAGACATGGTCTGCTTCCGCTGCTCGTCCGCGTCGTCGGCGGTCAAGTACCGGTACCGCTGATTGTCGTCCAATTTGTACTGCTGGAGAACACCGTCGGCACTGGCCGCATCCAAAAAGTCGTAAAAAACGTGGAAATTCTTTTGTCCATTGGTCCTACAAAAATTTGAATATTGTATATGTGTTTATGTGTGTTGTTTACTTGTGTTTATGAACGTTCGAAATACGTTATCATAATGTAAAAATATTTCATGATATGTACAGAATATGTTCGGTACGTGTATTTGATTTCGTGTTACCGTAAAACAGTGGTGTATATATAGGGGAACCTAGTGCCCTCCTCCCCCGGAATGTTTCAAAAAACTAATAAATTATTTTAAGCGTTTTTTATATTTTAATGGTGCTCTATGCTTATTTAGAAATAATTTTATAAAAAAAAAAAAAAAAAAAAAAAAATAGAAAAATGATTTTAACCTGGTGGCATTTATTTTATTCAATTGTACTTCAATAGTTTATTAAAATGTTATAAGGTTTTCAATTTATGGTTGAATGCTTATTATTAAAAATTAATTATATAATAAACAAATAAATTATAATTGTATAATACGAGTACATTTTATTCGTAGTATATTGTAAAAATAGTCCAATAGACATTTATACGAGTATATATATTAAATAATCAAGTACCACATCATATATCCTTTGTTCATAAACATAGGATTATACTTACTATAGGAAATACGTAAATAATGTGATAAATTGAGACAATTTTTATTGCCTTTGTCAAATAGTTTTGGGAAATTTTGTAAATGAAATGTAGATTAGTACCTATTGTGTCATGTTAGTAATTCTTAGATAGCAGTGACAATTTAATTCTGTCCATAGTAGCCCCTACCGAAAATATTTTCTGTATACGCCACTGCCGTAAAATGTTAATTTTAAATTTATGTATAACAACTAGAACAAATTGGTACGAATATATTATACAAATTTTCTTCTAAAAAAATGAACTATCGTTGTCGTCAATATAGGTACGATGAGTGATTTGATAAATAACTAATCTATTTGCAGTACATGTGGAGGTATATAAATATTTTTTATGTCATGCGATTCTAAGGTAAAGCTAATCCATTGTAATATTGTTTACTTGTTATTCACTGACGTATGAAAATATGTTTTTTTTATTCGTTTCGCATTCCTGTTCAAAGAATTAAATTATATTATTATAATTAAAATCAGTATACACCTGAACAAAAAAAACGACTTTTATTTACCGAGACGTAGTTTTTATGTCATAAAATGGAAACCACAAACAGTACAACGGAAACATTGCTGGGAACACACGTCTGAGACAACGTTTCTCGTCAGGTCTGCACGTGATTTTTTACGGACAGGTATTTTAAGACGTTATCTACGTAGCAACATTAATTATAGTATTATAACTTTATACATATTATACATTTGTACCCACGCAACGAAACGATCGGCTTGAATGTATAAACATGTATATAGCAAGCAGGGTAAAATTTCAAGGTGGGGGTTTGAATTTTGATAAATAGCATGCTTTATTATTATTATATATATTATTTGTAAGTTTCATAAGAAAATTTGAAATAACTATTAATTGTGTGGATCAGGTAATTTTTTATAACATTTTTTCTGATATTTCGAGGGAGTTTGAACCCTTACTCCTTGCTTTGGCACCTGATAGCTAGCGAACAACGTGAATGTGTATAACTATGTACTTACTTGGGGTTTGTCACTCTCCACTTTTCTAATTGGTAAACGAAAAATATTGCGCCACTGAGCTTGCCGGTGGACGAGTACGTAATTTGCGTCTGATTCACGTGCCGAGTAGAGTTCATGTGATACTTGTTGGCCGCGTTTCCGAAAGCTTGAATCACGTCTATAGCGGACTTTATTTTCAAACCGATGTCGTTAACTTTGACATGGGTTTGCTTGATATTGTAAATGAAACAATAAATAAAAATAATAGGGTTTTCATTGATTTGCAATCATTTTGATACAAATAAAATACATTATTTCGACTAATTACTGTCCACTTTTCATAAAGTTCTTTTTAATCATTAGCGCTTGAAAATTTTACGTTTTTTGAAATTTTTTTGTAAAATCCAATCAAAAAAAAAAAAATCAGTTTTCCATATTACGATCGGGTTTAGAAAATATAATTAATTCGTTTCTAGTCGTCACTGCAGGATAATCCTGGGTTGGTAATTGATACGCTATGGGTACTATATTTACTGCCTACGATTCCGTTTGTAACAACTATGCAAACTATGCAAAAAAAATAAAAAACGTAACCCGAATTATAAAAATATAAACACTAACCTCGCCCAAGAATAGCAAGTGTTCGACTAACTTGCCGTAGTTCAACGATTTCCCAGATTTGGTTTCGCCCGACATCAGAATGTGTTGTGGCTGTTCGTGGTGTAGCATGTCCTGATAGGCCGCGTCGGCCACGCTAAATATGTGGGGCGCGTTGTCCGATCGGCATTTGTATTGATAACGATAATGATGCTGAAACGTAAATAGACAGAGTTATGATTGAGTTGTTTGGAAATCGAGCCTCATGTATAATTACTTTTAAACAGTACGACTATTATGGACAGGGCCGAATGATTAGAAGTTTGTCGATTAGTGATTTTGGAACGTACGGAGGGAGAAAATCGTTTTCAATACAAGAACAGTAGTTCATAGTACACAATATCACGTTTCAGTACCTATATTTGATGTAGTTGATTTCGTAAACGGCAAAAGGTTACGGTGTACGGGACGATTTATCATACCCCGTAATATATAACCTACCCCAGTCGTATTTTAACTAACCAGTTTATAATTAATCAATACCAGTGAATACCGAAAGAAAAAAAATATACGAACGTTGTTTCATGATTAAACTTCCTTCGATTTAATCCACACCCGTTTTAGTACTACTATAGTCAAACACGAATATTAATACTAATATTAATCAACTTATCGACGTACCATTACGTTCTACGGAATCAATCTAGAAGACGTGTTGCTATTTCGGAATGCTGTTTAACGTGAGCTTATTTATGCCTATTGATATTTTTTCAATTATGTACTATAAAAGCGATAAACAACAACATCAACGAAAACAGCAAAAAATTTAAAAATAAACTGAATAAATCAAACAAATCGAAACTAAACGCCGGTATTGTCATAAAAATAAACGTATCGCAGTGTATTACAATGTTAATAAATAAATAAAACGATTTACTTTTTTCTCGTAGAGGTCTTCGTCCCGGTTCGGGTTCACGTACAGCAGCACGTCGCCGACAAACGTATAGCTCAGGCCGTCGAAATGGCGGGCTTGTAGCTCTTCGAGAACCGCATCCTCGGACACTTCCTTCAGCGCGGCCAAGTCCTCGAGAAGCATGGGTTTGGCCGTTTCCTTTTGATTCGACTGCGCGTGAAACGTAAATCACGACAGGATTATTAAAATAACATCGAAGTCAATCAACATTAACGTATGCAATTGTCATCGGAATGCGATAGAATAATATTCACCTTGTACGTGTACCGCTTGTGTTATCGCACGCTTATTAACAATAATTATAATAACTTAACGAAAACAATGGACGGTCGTGAGTATCGCGACAGACGTGCGGTTTTTTCAGATCGTATTAGATCGTATTCACCTCCCTTATTGGTCGGACGGAACCACACATATTTTCAATATTCTTTGTAGGTAAAAATGTTATTAAAAAAAAAAAAAAAACAGCTTGTTCCCCGACGTCTAAACGCGCTCAAAAGTAATAAATAATAAAACGAAACTCCAGTAAAATTGTTTTTTATTTTTTTATATTTTTGTTTTATACGCGCAACTGTTGTACTTCGATTAAATCTATATTTTTTTTTCAATTTACTAATACCGAGTATGTATTTGCATTAATTATAGAATCATTTGTCAAACAAAATACTAATTTTGTTGAAACTAAATATTATCTAGAAACGGTACAGTAATTAATGTGTATATTTCATGGAGAAAGGGACGTTTGATGTAAATAAGTCATTTTAATCAGTATTAATGCTCTTGAATTTCAGATTTTATAAGAGTTCATTTATATAAAACTATACACATTGTAATTTAATCGATAATCAATGAAAATACGCATTGAACCCGTCTAAGAAACTTTAAAATAATATTCCATCGTAAGAGTATTATGAAAATAATGAACATCATCATAATTGTATCTCCCATAGCTATTAGTCAAGAAATAATGAAATTATTCATTAAAAAATGAATAACATAAGAATAATTCCAAATTAAACGTGACGATAAAGAGGTAATATAGGTTCATTACCAATCAATTTGTTTATGTTGCAACTATCAAATTTTTAATGTGATGTATAACACGTTTTAATTTCAATTGTTAATTTATTTTTTATTACTGTTTTAATTAAATTTAAATAAGAGTAATATCTTTATTTATTTATTTATTTTTGCCGAAATTCTAATAAAATATTTAAGTTTAGTTTTTAAATTTTATCATAGGTAGTTTGAAAATATTTTTAAATAATTATACTTTAAGTTAAAAATGGTTTTAATAAATTTAATTGGAAAATATATCATTTTATGAAATAATAATAAAAAAAAAAAATAATTCATTATGTTTCGAGGCACTTTTAACTGCTAACGTACTTTTAACTTTAACGTACCTAGTATGAATAAACATTTTTCCGAAATTTTGTTTTTAATACTGTTGGACATTAAAATAATTATGAAAAATCTTAAAGTATAAATTTGTAATAATAAAAAATGTTTTATATTTTGAATGGGAAGTTTGGTATTGTAAACTATATTTATTTTAATAATATCACTTGCCTTTAAATATCCATTTTTTATAATCCTGACTTCTGGTTTTCGAATTGACGTTACGTCGTTAACAATTGATTCCATCACCGATTTTATTTCATCTTGTACCTGAAATAATTAAAAAAAAAAAGAAAAAACTAGCATGTCTAAATACCACTGATAATCTTGAGTCAAATACAAAAGTTTCGGTTTCTCAGTACAACTTTCAAGTGGAGAATAATTTCGTTTGTACATTATTTTCTTAAATTAAATATATTACAGATAAACAAATTCTCGTATGTGTATATTGCACACAAAATAATATTATAATTTATTTGAAATTATGAAATAATTTTAAATACATATAGACGTATAAACGTATTATATAATTATGTAAAATGTACGCATTTAATGCAATATAAAATATTGAACAATTATAAAAAATTATAGATTAATAGAAAATTATAGAAAAAATAATAGAATAATTAAAAATTAAAAATGTATATATTAAATATTATAAATTAAAAATTACAGAACAAGTACAATAACACCATAATGATTTTTTTTTCGTATATTTTGATGTATAAAATTTACATACATTTTTTACGTTTATTTATATACGTATAGACAAATAAAAAAATATATAAAAATGAGTAGAATACTTAATTAACTTACATTATCCGGCACCTGTGTTATAAACGGATGTTCTAGCAATTCTTCCATGAACGGGCGGTGATCTGCATTTTTTTCCAAACATCTAAATTTTTTAATAATTTTAAATTTAAGTTCAATACAAGGGGATAGTTATATTAGAATTTTATCATAAATGTGTATTAAATCATTATAAATACTAATTTGAAGAATCAAAAACAACATTTCTTATTTCGTCTGAATATCAAATACTTGATGTCTACAACATTTAATATTAAAATTTTCATTTAATACACGTATCATTCATGATTTAATCAACCATAGCGATTAGTATGATATTATTATTATTATTATCTTAAAACGAAACGTATTCATTTTTTTAGAAAATTATTACAAATTTAGTTTTCAATTAATGATGAATCATTAATGGATATGACGCTAAGTAAAAGGAATAATAACGTGGGTTCGAGGAATGGTATTTCTAAATTAATTAGCCGAGTGTATAAGCTTAAGGCGGTTTTCTGATTGCGTTCTTCCAATTCAGGAATATTCGACTACAGTATTAATTTACTATATAAAATTAATATTTGCTTTTTTAGGAAAAGAAACAAAAAATCGGTAAAAATCCCGATTTATAAAATATCTTTTTTATCGAATAAATGGTATGAAAAAAAAAAAAAAAGTCCAGCATTTATAAACACGTTGTAACATCTCAAGTGCTTTAAAACAATTGATCACATACAATACTTTTGTTCGTGTTAAACAAAAGTACTTATTAGTACGTCAAACTAATTACTGCAATCCCCTTGATCTGGATTTTCATTCTTTCGCAGTTTTATTTGCGAATGACACGTCGGCATAACCACTCGTGAACACAAATCGCCCTTATTCTTTCCTTTGTGTTCAGCGGAGTCAATAATATGCCGAGAATATTAGGCACTTGATGTATTTCAGTATTTTTTATTACTCGTATCGCACTATATAACCTGACTTTGTACGCCACGAACGCATGGACTCTATATTAATTTTTTTTTCTGTTTGATGCGCATTGTAATATTACATTCGTACGTACATAAAATATGCGATCCATTGTTATTGTAAAGCGCACGTGCGAATCGTTTAAGTTAGCGTTAGAAAACCGACCACTGGCGTGGTAAGACGCGTGTAGTTAAGTGAAAACAATACCATAATGTTCACTGAGTGGTATCTCAATACAAGTTACGGTATAGTTTTCGGAATTTAAAATTCGAAAGCATTCATACGAGTCCGTCACACAATAAAAACGATTTTAATCATAACCACTTGCCGTTTGCAATACTGTAGTACTTTCGATTTCAGGGATATTGTAAATACCAAGTCGGCGATGTTCAATATTTATTAACGTTAGAGCGCTAAGTATTTAACATGGTGAATACTGTCATATATACCAACTGGCATGTGTACGGCACGTGTGAATGGCGTCTGTATTGACCATAAAATAGTATCAATTAAATCCGTCGAATTAATAGTGATGAGTGATGTGACAAGTGTAACCGTGTGATTTCGTCGATACTATTATAATCGTTATAATGGTTTCGATGAAATCACACGGTACACTTGTCACATATCAATAACCATATCACGTATCAATTATAATTACGATCACATTTTGCCGAAGGGGTATGTAAGAAATAAAAAATCAATTTCCAACCAAATCGAAAGTGTTTAGTAATTATCAAGTGTATAGTATTGTTATTGATTTCGGATCTCGTCAAACCCCGTAAACCACGCCTATATAACACAGTATATACGACCCGTGCAATTCGGTACCACCTATGAAGAAGACACTATTACGTTTTAAAATTACGTACGGAAACTATTCCGTGTTTCAATAACGTAACCTATCACTTATCGAACACATTTGATTAGAATAGTACGTGGAAAATTAATTTCGAAGCGGCCACCTGTACAAACTACTAATCGATCATTTTCGAATGTGCAGCGCATAGAATATTATAGCACACACACACACACACACACACAGTGTGTATAGTAGATAGGACTCTCCGACGCGCTCGAGCATAATAATATATGGGTACCGCGTGGTATTAACCACAACGTGCTACCTCCCCTTACTCCTCCCACACATTAACTGGGCTCGCTTACTCGGCAATGAAGTCATTAAACAATTGCGACCAGTTTGATGGTTTGGATAGTCCTGGGGGCGGATTTCTAACGATTTGGAACAACGCCCTTGTCGGATGAATGTCCAAATACGGCGGTTTACCATCGCCCAGCTCGATAGCGGTGATCCCTGAAAACGAAAACATTCGTTAACTTATAATAAACATATACTTATGTTGTGATAAGCTTTTTCGAAATAATAATATAAAATATTTTAATAAAAATAAATTAAAAAGTCTAAAATGTTGAAAAACTGTGCCACACATTCGCAGATAACTGCGTTGTGAATCTGTGCGACGCAGGCTGACAATATTGGTATACTATATACCAGTACTGCGCTGCACTATCCTACTCATTTATTTTACGCTCTTCAATTTGAACCAGTAGATCCCAAAAAACTGTAATGCGCTATGTTGCGTTGCATTCCGTCACCTGCGTCTCAATTTGCGGCCGACCTCGGTATCTCATATACTCTTCATAGGAATCGAATATAATTACCCAAAGAAGGATGCACGAGAAGTTATCCTGTTTATAAGTAATATAAAGGGTTTGTCTGAAATTTACGAGGTCAGTGATATATGTGTGATTCATTGTGATTGCATAATGAAAATTTCCTTGAAAAATGTTTCCTATCTTTAAAATCTTAGCTTAATCAAATTATTTTTAGAATACTATCTTAACTGTAAAAATAAACAGTGTAGTTGTATTTTTTGCGAAATTCTCATATGAATCAAGGCGCCACACCGTCTTTGCGCTTATTGCGCGTTTTTTACGCTCGTACATTTCAGATAATATTCTAAAAAAAATTTGAATAAACTTAGAGTTTGGAGATAGCAAAAAAAAAAAAAAAAATTTTCATTGGGCCATCACATTATACAGTACACATATATTATAGAAGTGACCTCATCCAGAAACACCCTGTATATATATATATATATATTAACAATTAGATAATTTAATGTCGTAGGATAACGATCGTTTTACTGAACAATATTATTCAAGGGGCACACGTTCCCTTCACTAGAGTCCGTCCTTAGAACTACGAATAAAAGTTTATCTGTTTCGTTTTCCCGTGAATATCGAACACGGCGTTTTTATAGATATTAAGGATTTTCTAAGTCGTTCTAGTCGTGTTCACTGAATGAAAGTCTGCGAAGGCATAAAGATCTACAGCAAAATGTAAATCCTTGTTTATCGGAAACGATATTAATGAAATAGTGTAACGTGAGGTATCAAAATCATTTCCAACCGATGATTTTGTTTTGTGACGGACTTACCGACAGACCAGACGTCGATTTTCTTATCATAGAACGGGGTTTGACCCGAACTGTCTTTGTACTCGGCTAAGACTACTTCGGGCGCCATCCACGCCGGCGATCCGACTCCCGTGTTAGTCTTATACTCCGGACCCTGTAACTCCCTGTAAGATATAATATAAAGTGTACAGTAAACAATCGTGGTGGCGTTTTAGATTGACAACAATAAACATATTATGCAGTGCTGTAAAGTATTTGAGTAAAAGTATTCAAATACTTTTTTTAAGTATAGAATAATTTTTTAAATACTTTCAGAACGAAATATTTTCAATGGTATTTTAAATACTTTTTTTTCTATTGAATACTTATTTGTATTGAATACTTAGTTTTTTTTTTTCGAACATTTTATTTTTATTCAAAATATTTGGTTGGAAAAATATTGCCAATTATAATCAAAGCCTGGAGGTTTGTGAAACCAAGTTTCTAAAAATAGATATTCAATTAAAATATTTCTTTTTGTATTTTTAGATAGGTAAATGTTAATATCAGATACGATATCTGTCTGGTTATATGGGATTATGAGAATAACATAGATTTTTCCACAAATCACTATATATCTGCAAGCCTAAACCATTTTTATTTATTAATTTAAAGACTTGTATAGTTGTGTTTATAACTTACTGGCTAAAATTACTTCAAGTTTTAATATGAGTAATTCTAACCATAATACTGATGATGAAAGTGATTCAGAACCGCATAATGCATCTCTTTCGACTATTTCTCAGCAAAATGTTAGTTTACCTTAACCTAATTACTCCAAATATTTTTTACAAAAGTATTTGAAAATTATTCCAAAGACTTTTAAAGTATTTGAGTAGTATTTGAAATACTATACAATTAAAATATTTGAGTAGTATCTTAAATACTTGAAAAAAAATGTATTTGAGTATTTACTTAAATACTTTTTAAAAGTATTCTTTACAGCTCTGATATTATGTTATAATAAGCACGTAATAAGATGTATTACATGCTCCAACGAGCACGTATAATTATTATTTTTAATAATTATTAATAATCAAATATGCTTATTGGATTATTGGAGTGCTATCAATATTTAATAAATTATTACCGGCCATGGTATCCGAATGGAAATTTTAACACTATTTTCCCCCGTCCGTTTTGACAGAATATTATTGAATAATATATTTAAATAATTATAATTAAATTTAATTAAATTATTAAAATTATTCTATTCGAATCATATTCGATACAGTGATGTATACAAAAATATAATAGAACATGTTGATTAACAGGTCTACAGGTTTCTAGAAAAAGCTCATCCATGCCATTAAACGAATCATCTAGATCGTTTAAGATTTTAATAAAACTGTCTACTCTTCATAATTTCGAAGATAATAAATTCGCCGCGTAATTGTTGTTATTCAACGTAATCACATTAATCGAAACGTATTTCGTTAAGATGTCATCGCGGTGTCGTATAAATATGTATATAAAAATTATTACTCGGCATACCGATATTTTTAAAATAATTATACGTCTTTTATTAACTGTGATATAATTATAATATCGTTATCACAATCAAGAATCGTTTATTGATTATTGTTTGTCTACACACGCATGCCTACGAAGTGCGCACTCGTACGACTTGCAGTAAATCAATATTTACATGTACTGCGGTATTTAATATGAATCGACGCGACATACGGCACGAACGTAATACGCATTGGGGGAGCTGTACCTGTTCAGCAATAAAACTGTAAATTACCCAGTAACATTGATTTTAGTGCAATGAGCGAATGGCGAGCGATTTGTTAAAAAAAAAAAAAAAAAACAATTAAAAGAAAAAAACAATTTAACATGCATTAGATCTCTTGTAAACCCGTAACAGTAACAATAATTCTTCGTAATGTTGTTGTAATGTTGTAATCTGTTGCGCGCAACAGAATGCACACGGATATTGTTATAGGTATTTGTGAACCGTATTATAACGCACGTCGTTCTTATCCGCGTGTACGTTATATTAATATTACACACACACTACTCGTCCGTACGGTTAATAATAACGGTCGGCCGGAGAGAAAACGTATAAACTCATGTACAATACCCTATGTTTGTTGCGTCATTATGTTGTGTGATTCTTCCCCCGAGACGTCGTCGTAACAGATTTCCATTGTGTTTTCGAGAAATTACGAATTAACAAATCACAAATCGACTTCAGGCGGTACTATATTTCGGTGATAAAAGTGTGTGCCTATCGCACGGGTGGGATCGTTCGTGTTATTATTACGAGCGTCACATGCACACATGAGCACATCGTACATCATGAAGTGCACCAGTTAAGCACACACACGCGCATACGCACGTATATTATACGGACTCGAGACACATAGCACGACCGCTAAAGCCTTGTAATAAAAGTAACGACGTACGGTTGTAAGCCCACAATTACCCGTGAACAAGTAAAAAATATTAAAAAATATTAAAAAATAAATAAATAAATAAAAATCCCGTAATAAGTCATAACTCACACGGTATATGATGGACCGTATAAGAGGTTATGATAAAATTACGCGCTGCATTAGAGGGGCGAACACTGTACATAAACTCTTTGCCGGATCTCGCAAAACGACGCGTGAGATATGTCTGCTAATACTAATAATGGTTAGTGTATGCCTCAGAGGTCTCTAACCTTTTTTCACGGTGGACCAAATCTAAGATACGCTTTGGCATTGGGGGCAACATTTTTTATAGACATAAAAAAGGTAATGAGATTTAAGAACAAATTAGAATAGATAACATTTATACAGATTTTAGAAAAATGTATGTTTATTTTTATTTTTTTAATTCAAAATTCGTTTTGTTGAGATACGAGTAAGTTACTTAACGAGAAGTTTAGAGTTGATTGTGTTTAAAATTTTTTGATAGTTTGCATCAAATTTTTTTGTTCCAATCAACAACTTTCTTCGTAAATGTTCGTCGCTTAAGTTATTTATACTTAGGTACATTACTAACTTACTTGGATACACTTAAATTTGATGTATTTCATTTTTTGAAAATGTCTGTTCACATAAATAAGTGGAGCTAAGTATTGAAATAATTTCACGTGCTCATTTTTTTGTATTTGAAATAATATTAACAAATGTTAGTTAATTTGGCGGGCCGAAACCGGACTGCGAGCCATAGGTTGGAGACCCCCCTTGGTGTACCCCATCCGCTGGGTGACATTTATGCCTCAGAGGTTATTATGTGTTTTCTCGTAGACTTGAGTAGATACAATATGGGTGGAATATATTGTATATTACGTTTAAGTTAATTCTAAATCATGTTTCTATGTTTAGATACGTTGTATACCTAGATAAACCGAAATCCACCAACTTCACTTCGCCATTCTTTGTTAACAGTAAGTTTGAGCCACGTATGTCTCTGTGAATCACTTGATTATTATGTAAAAAGCACAAGGCCTGCGGAATAAAAAAAAAAAAACATCAGTTTAAAAAAATAAAATGTAATGTTATTTTTTTAAATCAATATGCATTCGCGCCGATTGTATATTATAATAAAACTGTCAGAATGTGATTATACAAAATGTGACGAATAAAAATTTACATATTCCGAATGATTTGGTTACACTAACGAGGAGAGCTACATTGAAATACGATCAAACTCAATATTATCAAGTTGAAAATTTTCAAAAGACATGTGACGCTGTTTTTGGTTTATAGGTTATTGGTTATATTGGTTAAATATTTCATAACTACAAAAATTAATAGTGTGTACAACAATATTTTTGTTCGAATTACAATCGTTTATATTTCGCACATAAACGCAGATTAACATCATAGTGAAATAATTTCACATATAAAATATGATTATTTAGTTGATTCAATTTTATTCAAATGTATGTGTGCATTTCAAAAATTAATCATATTCCTTATACTTACACAAACATCAATATAATTTAAGTTTATACATATATATATATTTTACGCAAGAATTTAGTTATTTATCAAGGATACACGTGAGTAAAAATAACATTTTAGGAAACTAAACGTTTGTTTTAAATATACAAACCAATCATCATGACGCGTCATTTGTAAATATCAACCTGCTAAAGATAGTTTTTGTCTCATTTTAGTATATTTTAATTTTAAACTACTTAGAGTAGCTGATTGAGGGTTGCCATACGTTGTAACAAATTATATTAAATTTAACCAAACGGTTTTTACAGCGTATTTTTATTCAAAATTAGATTCATCCTCATCTACTCGCAGTTTCAAACACACTAAGGTTTAACTTACAAAGGATATTCATTAAAGGATATAAGGTTTTAAAATATATTATTTAGAATACATACTCTGATCAGTTCCCTGAGTATATATCCAATGTGTTCTTCTTTCATTTTTTTATTTTGTAATAAAATACTATTGACCAAGTCAACAACGGTTCCTCCTTCACACATCTGCAATAATTGATTAAGATTTTTAACAATATGTATGATATAGCTTATATCTGCTCGGGGACGTTTATTCGATTTGAAGAAACAATATACACATTATTTTATTAGTGCATACCCATTGCAAACCGAGTTCGACGTTTGGTTATATGGGCGTTGTATAGGCGTTGTAAAGGCGTTGTATATAATGTATAGACGAGTAATAAATACCGTATGATTAATGTTGGAGATGTATTCATAGAAGCATTTAAATTAAGTCAGTTTTCCTAATGCAATTATCATAATGCACCTATCCGACAGCCATAAATATTTAATAACATAACACTGATTAATCATTGTTAGTATACATTCAGTTAAGACCAGAAGTATGAAAATTATGGAGGTCTGTAGGTACTCATAATGATTTTATAATATTAGATCCATTATATTGAAAAAGTATTATATGTTATTTATATGAAAGATAAGAAAAAAAAAGTTGACTTTTATTTATGGGATTCCAACGATTAGTCCGTAATCCCGTATATACTTATTGTCTAGGATATTTTTAACGTCGATCCGCTCATTTTTAAAAAAGTACACATATACCACTGAATTATATTTGATTATACATAATATTTGAAGTCACATATTTTCAATGCGTGATTTATTAATTTAATTAAAAATATCGAATTAGAAATATATTTTTCTCAAGAACAATATATATATATATTATTGATATTAGTTATTAGGCGATGGATATATAAATACGTGTATTCACTTTACAACATACCTCCATGACAAACCACAGTTCAATGCCATTTTTGTTCGTAAAAGCGCCGTAAAAGTCCGGCAGGTTCGAGTGCGACGAAAGATCCCTCAAAACTCGGTACTCTTCATTTATGTCTTTTTCGATGTTTGAGATTTCTTTTAGGTTTTGAATTTTGATCGCCACAGTTTTTCCTAAATCAAGAGACATACACATTTATAATAATTAATCATTTAAATATCACAATAAGTGAAAACAATTTTTTAACAAATCTATACGACTTAAAAGTAATAAGTTTGTTATAAATTGTGCTTATTTTAAATGCATTTTCTAAATCTACACTGATTAATATGATTTTTGTAATAATATTTTTTCTGAACCATAATTTTATGAACATTGAAGTGTTCAATGTTTTTTAAATTAAAAATACTAAAATTTATTTATTTATTTTTATTAATTTTTTATTTATTTATTTGAAATACACGCCTGAAGGCAATCAGTACAGAATTATTAAATACTTATAATACTAGTTTGACAGAAAATATACATAAATTATTAGTCAACATTATATACAACAATATTAAGTTAATCTATTTGCTCACTGGTTGAATTAGTTAGTATACAATTTATTGGAATAGAAAAAATGGTTAAAAAGAAAATATATTAATTTGTATCGCTTTTTGAGAGGAAAGAAAAATATCCAATTTGTGTTGTAAGTTATTACAGGAGACTAGTGCTTCTTGAATTAAAAGTGGATCTGATAAATTAATGTTGCTGAGCAGAAAACTGTCTTTAATTGTACCATTTAAGATTTTGTAAATAAATATGACGTCCTAAAATTTATTATAATATTGACGTAATAAGTATTAAATAAATCATAAATAAAATAATAACAATATTTACCAACTTTATAAAGATGAAATGAAAAATTATAACTATTTTATATATCAAGCAAATGAAAAAAAGAACTAGTTTATAAAATATTAAGACTATCAATTAAAACTAAACAATTTTAAATTAAAAAACAGCTATGGCGATGTGTAGAAATTGTTTTTAATATATTTATGTATCTCACAAATAAAAAAATTCTCCCAATCGTGAAATTAGTTTTTTTTTTTCGTTCATGAATTTGTTTTTTATGCAAAAGTTAGATAGTCGATTATCAATTGTATGATGTTTAAACGCTTTTGATATAAAATTTACAAGATTAGCACAAATTGTAAATATTAATTAAGGTTTTGATTTGTTTAGAATTTTCTTTTTTTTTTTCATCAGTCAGTTTTCTAAACTTACAAGAAACTTAATGCTCTGGACGATCCATAAAAAAATGTGGTTAGAGATTTTATTCCTTACATTTACGGGAATGTTCTATGATGTAAAAATGCATCACGCGTGCTATTTTATCGATTATATTTGTAACACGGCCATTGGTAATATATTTTGTTAAGCCAAGCATTATTTTTATCATTATAGAATTAAATGAATGAATAGTATAAAATCGTTTAAAATACACATATACACACACACACGAGTTTATAATCAAGTATTTTAACGTTTAGAGCACAATCAACTCTGCCAAAATAAATGTATTTTAATTTTTACATTAATATATCTTTGTGTATCCATTCAAATCGGCATTATGGTGGCCATAAATAAATTGCAAGGTCAAAGTTTCTCCAAGGTAATTTCTCTCTTTTTCTCCCTTTGAAAGCAGCTCTTTTATCGGATCGAATTATATCCTATTTCACATACACATACCCGTAATAAAGTTCCGACTAAACGAAATGAACGCAATAAATATGTTTTTGATAGCATTATTAGTAAACGATCGTTTAATATACGCGTACACATAGTAGCGTTGGAAGTTAATTTATTGATCTGATTCGCGAAAACATTAAGGCTTCGTGCAATAGCTATGTTTTCGTAAATGATTATTTTTAGAGTTAATTGCGATTATCTGATGTTCTCGTGATAAAAAAAATATATTGTTACGATCCAAAACAAGTATTCAATTTACAACGGCATACGGCCGTTATGGTTTTATTTTTTCCGTTGCAAATATTGTACATTAAACGCGTTTTATGCAAACATTATACCGAGTTAGTTGTCTCAAATTTATTTCTACGCTATAAACAATAGGTCGCATTCGATAGTTGACGTTTTTAAAATTTTTAACTGGACTCGAGAACATCGAACATCACACCGTTCTGGTTATAAAATCGAAGAATGGACAATAAAGCAAATAAAAAATTAACGTTACATACATAAATGTAATAAAATTATAAAAACCCACGACGAACGTTAAACGCGTTGGTGTATATTGAACTTATTTTTAATTTTCCATTTACGATTTACCACGTATGGTTTACAGCGGAAAAGCTTTTTGACGATATAAATCGTGCAACGTATGTGTTCACACCGAGACTATAATATTGTATTGTTTTTTGAGGTACGAAAAAAATTGAACATACAACTTTAATCCTGTCGACCATTTGTTCTGCAAAAATATATTCCGATTAAATTTTTAACAGATTTTTAGAAGTGTACATTTTTATTCAGATGCATTAGTCATATATACATATGAAATTGTAAAAAATACGTTTTACGATGAAAATATGTAGACAGCTGCAAACTCGAAATGCTTGAAATGCTGGTTGGTCATTCGAATTTCAGTGAAATTGGTGACTGTCTTTTTTTTTTATCATAAGCCAAAACGTAGAACATAGAATTTTACAGAGATATAAAACTAAAAAAAAAAAATTACCAACAAGTATACATTTTTCATTGAATTCGATTTAATTTTCGATGCAGATTCCATCAAGTAAGCTTTTATGAACTACTTAAAGCTCACGAACAATCCGTTTTACCGATAGATGTCTAATTGAATGCGGGTGGTTTTCTGCGATCAGGGTATTGTGCACGGTTCGCAGTTTATACAAAAACGATAAACGTTATGAGAAAAATAAAAAACGGGCTGGCTTTCGATTTGGAAACGTCTGATTGAAAAAAAAAAAGTGGATTGGTAACGCGCGTCGATGGTACATAAATTACGATGGAGTATGATTAGAGTGTAGTTCTACGGAAAAGGAAACAAAACGTACGATAAATTCAAATGTGTATCTACGCTACATAGTAAGTTTATAGAAACTTTTACAGAGAATATGAACGCAATATTATTATTAATCACGTGGCGAACCGGCCGGAGGCTCGTAGTGGGCTACGTTGAATTTAACACTATGAGCCCCGCCTGCACCGACACCGCGCCCGAGCGCGTACACTACACAGTAGTCGATAAATTAATGATTTATTAACTAACGGTAGTTAATAATGTCACGTGAACCATCCGGTGATCGGTACACTATCGCTGTGGGATTCGCGCGCGTATACGTATCGTATGCGAACACATGATCGTTTCGGTGCACCAGCAGCAGCAGCGAATACTTTGAGGGGTGAAATTGTGAATTAATTTCATGTCGACCGACCGACACAAGTCTAACAGTTCCAGCTTCCGTGGACAAAACAAAGACAGTTCCCGAGATCTCGTTAGAAAATTCGGAAAGTTCGATTGGATTTCTACGAACAAGGGTCGGTCGGTCCTTATCCGTTTGTTGACGTTCTCGAGTGCATTCTTCATTCGATCGTCGATTAGGGAATATGCGATTATATCGGAACGATAAAACGTGCGCCAAGTATGTATTGGCCAACGGTAGACGGGCAGTTTTGAATGTGACTCGCGAAAAAAATGTAAAAAAAAAATACGTCCGCGGGCAAAGGTTAATCGGCGGCGGGTCCTCCGCACGATTTCGACGCGCGCCCGTTGCACCGGTACAAAGAAGAAGTTTGTGCGGCGGCCGGACATCACTTTGGGTGCGGTTCTCGTCCATGGCAAAGTCCACGGAAAACGATTCTGAAGACCGTCGAACGACCACCTCCACGGTACCAACAACACAGACTGTGTTAAACGCGCACGGCTCGCTCGGGGATGATAAACGATCCACGTGATCCACGTTTATCAGCGCAACGAAATCGGTGCGCCCGCAATCAAGGCGTACGATTTCGTCGTGTTATCCTAGTATTTTGTTGCTGTTCGTCTGATTTCCGCGTGACTCATTCGTACGATTTCAATTATTTTTTTAGTCAACAATTTAGAGCGGTGCTACAACATTTTTAAAAATTATCAGTGAATAACTGGAATGCGTTGCTCCGTACGGCATTGCAAAAGTAAAACAAATACCAGGAATACTACTCATTTCCAACATCCAAAAGACTGTAACGTAAACTGTAATACAGAAAACCACCTGGCCAAAGCGTTGCCTAAAACAAATAGTAATAGGGTTTGACCCCTTTTTGAAAGTTCGATGTTTTTGAACTTTACAACCGAAAATCGACCGGTTTTCGAGTTCAATTCCAACGATATTTGACGGCAAGTAAACGGTGTGGTCACATCGAAACATGATTAGAATTATTTCATAAACCAATTCTGATCTCGACAGGTCTGCCGCTCGTTCGTTCTTTAATTGATAATTTTGGATTGAACGACCTCGTCCACCGCGTTTCGACGTGACGGTGAGTGGCAAACACGCTTTGATCATAACCAATAGGAAAACGAAAACGAACGAAGTGCAACTATTGTCCGTATCGTATCGAAACGGACTCGCGCGGTCGCGCTCAACGGGAGATGCTAATTTTTCCACCCTTGGTGCTACCCCGTTCCGGTGACGACGGTCGTCGGCGGGTGTGTCGCGCGCGCGGATCCTAACCCGTCTCGCGGTCCACGGCTCCGTACACGTTGCTGCATATGCCCGTGCCCAACAGCTCGCCCAGCTCGAAACGGTCGCCGCCGGCCTCCGGCAACTCGTTCACGTCCAGCTGCGCGTCGCCCAGTCTCGCGTCGTCGCCGTCGCCCATGCCGCCGCAGTGGCGATCGTCGCGTGTAACGGCCGACCGGTGTTTCGCTTCGCGGCGGTGTGACCGGAGGGGTACGCAAACGCGATCGAGACGGGGACGTCGGTCGGAACGGTTTCGCGGTCGTGTCCGGCGTCGGACTGAATGGCCCGCGAGCCGACGGTTCGCGTTCACGAGCTGCGGAACGCTAAGACCCTGCCGACGGATTATGTGTCGTGTGCCGGCGGAAACCGTACAAACGGTACCGTCGACGTTGCCGTAATTCGATTATACGTTTTTTTTTTTCTTAATACGGGGCACCGGGTAACGTTACGTTCGACGCGATCCACATTATTATCCGTATCACTATCGCAGGTTGTAGTTGTCGCGTTTTTTTTTTTTTTTTATTAGTGGACGCGCGGTCGCCCGTTACGCGTCGCTGCGATCGTTGCTGGTCGTACTCGGTTTTCGGGCGCTAGGAAAACCTCAAACGTTCTTGTCTCCGCGAAACGGCGTACGTCGCGTTCCAAAACCGACTTCGTGACCGATGTTCGACTTGGCAAAACTAAAGAAGGGGGACTCTGTTTGCTTTAAAAAAAAAAAAAAAGAGCGTCCCCAAAACCTGTTAAGCGTGTTATGGTTATAACGTTATCGTAGCGGGGAGACGCTAAAACTTCTGAAAATTAGTTGGGGTACTCCGTGCCCCTGCGTCCCCCCCTCGAATCGAGCACTTTTCATAACCGTACTGCGCGCACCTCTCAGTTCTCAGGTGGCCTAGAAGTGCTTTTCGAGCGTTTCGAACGTTTGTCGTTCTCGTGATAATCATTACGGTTAGGTAACACAAATGAATAATACAATCGTAACGTCCCCTCGAAAGCCTGTGGCTATGCTCGATGAGGGAGTAACTAAATAGAGGATACAAAAGTTAGACGGTTGGTGATTACAGAGTCATTACGTTTACGTCTTAGTTTCTATAATGCGTATACGCATTTGTAAGGTGGAGTGGCTGCGTTAATACAACTTTAACAATAATCGTGCGCGCATTAATCTAGGAAATCTTTACCCGTGAGACCGTAGTACACAGTTGTACGAAAATAAGTTCAAATATTGAATTATGTAAAAATAATTATATTACACCGTGGCGATTGATCGTCGTTCACTGTTCCGTTGGATTTTATTTAAATTCACTGGCTAGTGAACTGTATGTTGAATTTGTACGCATGATTTATTACAATACCTTCAAATCGGTTTAACTCATCTGAAAATCAGAATTAATTTATTTGATTTTCGACCATAAAACGTGTTTTTTCAAAATATACTATAATGACGGGCCATTGGATAGAGATTTTGAACATAATACCAACTACATCGGTAAACACTTAATAGCTCAATAGCTTTTATAATAATAATTAGTAATATGTAAATTTACGATTTCTTGACAATTCTCAACATTATCGTTTTGTTCTACCCACAAAATAAGATTCTACAGTAGTAAGACAACGGATGTGAAATTCGTTTTCAGAATCGAACCAGATGAATATTTTTATACACACATCGCTCGGATGGCCGGACAAAATAATTCGATGAGCGTTATATTGTTTGAAAAGGTATTGTCAACAAAGTACCCGCAATACACAAGTAACATTATCCGACCATACGAGTATAGTCGTGTTTCTTCCACACGGTTGTCGTTAAATTCATTCTGATCTTTTAAGCAAATACAGCATGACAGTAGTTGACTTAGGCTGTATTCGGCTTTCGTTTCATTTAGCATGGCATTTCACATAATATTATCTAACCTTCCTGTCCACTTGTATATACGCGCGCACCACACTCGCCCGGTATTCACCACAACCGGGTTTTTGATTTATTTATTTATTTATTATTTTTTTTTTTTTTTGCTCCCCCTGTCGCTCCCTTCCCACCGTTACCGTCGCCGCTGCAACCGAATGAGTTATGAGTCAACAGAAGAAGAAATAAAACAAAAATCATTCTCTACGCATCCTATACATTAAGTAACATAAATAGCATACGACAACTTCACACAGATATCGTTGCTTGCGGAGACGATCAAGTATTGAATTATGTATAAGTACCGTTTTCGTATATTAAACCCTAGTACCGTCAATTCAACAACATACTGCAATATTATTTACAAAATTTCTCGGGTTGTACGCACATCAAATGCATATAAGTTCAAAAACGATCTGATCTCGTTTTGGTCTTGATCGTTTGAATTTTCGTATTGACATAATGTATATATTTTTAATACTCGTATTTTTACGTTTTCGAAAACTTACCATCGCATCTCCTTTATTGAGACGGGATAAGAATTCGATTTGAATTACGTGTACGGTACGAATACGATAAGATGTTACGAAAAGAACAAACATTATTTGCGGCATTCAAGTCAACTTAAAAGTGTGCATAATCAATTAATGTCACTGCATATCGTTTTGGTATGACGTGTGGCTTGAAAAGTTTATTAAATTATTTTCTCGCATTCTCATTCCAAGGACAGTTTAAAGGAGTTTTTTTATTTTGTTAAATAAATTATATTAAACCAAAAAATATTATAACAAAAAAAAATAACATTACACAAAAATTGTTTTTTTTTATCTATTGGTTTGGTGAAAATGACCACCAAGCTATAAACGAAAAATCGAATAGCCAATAAAATATATAGTAGTGTTCTTGCATACCGCTATAACATAATATTATGGTAGTTAATGTACTCAGCAGAAAAATATTTCACTCAACTCTTGTGGGGTTCGACTTATTTTATAATCTATAACAATATAATAGCCGATAATATTTTATGACATAATAACATTATGATTTCTTTTTATTGCGTCCCATACGAGTTTACGACACTTGACCGTTTTTCCGTTGTACCTGGGAATCGAATAATAATGGTTTTGTGCAACACTTATTTCACGATATTTTGAAAGGACGAGATTACTTCCAAATAAACCCTTATTTTTGAACATTGACATTTACCACACATATTATTTATACGGTCAATGCCTACTACCTGTGTGGACAAGTGAACGTTTTAAAGAGGATGAATCGAGAAAAAAGCATTCATAATTCGTCATGTTATTGTGTCATCCTGCATACGAGTATATAATATAATATGGTGTCTTGTGAGAATATAATATAATATTGCGTAGGAATGTTAAAGCAGTAAGACACGAAATAAATATAAACTGCTATATACGTCTTACAATATTTTTAGTATTTATTTAATTTAAAATATTTCAGCAAATTAATGATTTTACAAGCTTGTAGCTTTTAATATAATACAGTGTATCACATTTATGTAAATTCTATTCTAATATTTACAAAAGAGTTGAAGATTTAAGTTATTTCATATATAATATAGCGAGAAAATTAAATGTTGTAGATAATAATAATTATAATTAAATTTGTGGATAAGAGATTCAATATTGAAATTACTGACTTATATGGGAAGTTTGCTGTAAGTTTTTTTTTTTTGAAAAACGGCAAGTAGAAAAGTTGAAGAGTTTAAAAACGTTTTGAATTCGTTCAAAATTCTTGATATTGAATCGGAAATATTGGATGTTGGTTTGGCGGCATTATACTGATACTATTACTATTATATGTATATTCAAAATTATTTTTAATATCAAAATTTCGCAATATTACCGTAGAGTACAAAAAATATGGTATACGATTTTGTCATATCTTAAATATAATCGTTTTCATATTATTTATTAATAGCGTCGATCGTAACATGTTAAAAGAAACATTAACATTATACGGTGAAATATTTAACGCAACAAATATTTCGTACACAAAAGCTTATTTCAAAATAAATATCACAGATTCACAAGTTTCAACCATCTACCTCGTTTTTATCGTCACACACCGGATGATTTAAATAACAGGTTGATGTATTGCCGTGTATTATAATTCGTTCGCCCGTTCGTTTTAAATTAAATATCGGAATCTGTGAACACTGTTATCTATATATGTATGCAATACGTATGCGTGGAGACGAACATTACAGCGTACTTAAGTGTATGGTATGCCTACAGTGTCCATAATACGCAGTGTATACACCCTGATGAATATATGCACAATGATAATAAACGTCTAGCAAACGTTAGTGTTTGGACAATAATACACATATGTGCATAAATGCGCACGTTTTGCATACCATTGTAACCGGTGCGCGTGTGTGTGCGTGTGAGTGTATAACATCGGTATGCATTGAGAACGATTTGCTGTACAATCGGAACATTTGAATGAAATAGTTTGCAGTTCGAGATATTATGGACAATCGTCAGTACGCGCATACACGCATTACGTTTCGTTATTAACGACCAACGTTACGTACGATAATATTATTGCTACGATTGTGTCTGTTTACGTGCATACTATTAAGTGCGGGTAGTTCATTTCTTTGAAAAATATTCATTTGGTTGCCGTTTAAATAGCAAAACAAAACTGTATAGGTGTAAAACATTTATTTCGAGTTGAACGAATTCATTTTTAAGTCTAGATATATTTTAATAAAGATTCGATGTCGAAACAATCACTACGCATAGTTGAAGACAAAACAGAACATTTCGGAATAGTTTCGATTTTGTTTTACAGAAAACACGAATATTTAAACGTTTAATTTTCCATGACGAAAAAGACAATATTTAAACGGAAAACGAAACATATCGTGAAAACATTTTATTTTCTTATAGATTAAACATGAATAATCTTCGAATAAATGTTTTGAAACATACACCTCTAGCTGTGATTTCTTTGTTTCTGTATGGCTTTCGATAAAAGAACGTGGTTTAATGACAAAACGCAAATAAACCGTTCAAAAATAGGGCTTCGGATAAATCCGTAGCACGCAACGTGTGATATCATCGCGATCGTTTATGGACACCACACTCTGCGCGTAACCGTATTAGACGTTCAATTGGCTCACGACGCCGGCGAAGGGTTTACGCGCACCGCCGTCTGTGTGCGGGATCGACGTCGGAGAACCGCTCTCGTCTGCACTGGCAAACGAAGGGAGGTTTTCAGCAGCGCCGGTGGGAGGTTTTACGGGGCCCGGGACAGATTTTGTTACGTGGCCCTAGACATTTTTTTCGTGAAGTCAAAATATATTTCATTAGACGCTCTAGTACTCGTATGCCATATTTTTCAATTACACATAAATTATGTAAAAATGGA